CTTGTTGAAAGGTTTGTCCCGTGACAAGTGTAAAATAAACAGATGCGCCGTTATATCATTGGACGACCTGCCTCATGGAGTCACGCCCCTCTTTGTAATGTTTATGCATGCATGCACATCTGTAATCTTATGAACCTCGTTTACATTCAGTATAAATATAGGCACGCCCATCTTCATAAATATTTTGGGGATTAAACTGCAAGTTTATACTTTATAATCATTCAGTATCGTGTCACTTTTTGAATTCTATAATACGTGTACTTTAATTTGGATATTCGTTCGTATCAAGGTGAAGATTATGTTAACATGTACAGCAAACCATTATCTTTTTATGTACTAGTTGTGTGCGTAAAATGTATATGAAAATAAATACTATGTCTACTCAATGACTGGATTTCAATCACCTTGTTTTACCTATCGAAAAACACTAAAATGTGTTTTCGATCTCTGAAATCTATCTTCTCCTATTTGCCTTATGTGTATATTTCACAGATCGTTACGATTATGTATGTTTACAATACACAAACTGTTACATGATAGCTTGAGTTGATGAAGCTGAAACCCAGCATATCGACTGTCAACGGTATAGCCAATAATCAATCTCTATCCAGCTGCTGGTGACCAAACGTGGTCTTCAGAAATTTCGCCCACGGCCCATCACCTGTCCCTTCCTCTGTGACAGATATCTCATGATACGATTGGTCACAGATAACAAAATGATCAGCCACTATATTGAACAGTTGAGGTGCCGAACGTTCTGTTTGGGAAATTTGATGACGCCCTATCACATGACTCTTTGTTTTATGTCTATACAATGAATCTGTATTATACAATTTTTATATGTATGTTCGTATGATAACGTATGTTTTTGTGCATTAAATCTGTATGAAACAAAGTGCCAAGCTATGAATGTGCTCTATGTTAGTCACAGACTAGCGTAATAGTACTTTCCCTTGAAATATTCAGTATACACTAGAAATGTATCGGCAAAACGCTAATATCGTATAGATTATAAAGAATGTAAGTAAATCGCAGTATGTCACTGTCAGTTTGTAAAATTAAACCTCACATAATGATATAAGAGAAAGAATTTGTTTATGTATGCCTCATCTCTTACATACAAAGAATACATACACATGTTGATAAAATATACATGTACAAGCCGCCAAAGGTCTACAAGAGAAACTTGCAATTAATTTACATATACCCTGGAGATTATCGAGGATGGTACCAGTAGAGCAAATGTAAGCTATCCTTCAAGTAGTTAGTGAGTGAGTTTAGGTTAAGGCCGCGCTCAGCAATATTCCAGCTATATGGCAGCGGCCTGTAAATAATCGAGTCTGGACCAGACAGACCAGTCATCAACAGCATGAGCATCGATCTGCGCAATTGGGAACCGATGTCTGACCCCCTGGTCTCGTTCGTCGCCTCTTACGACAAGCATGGGTTACTGAAGGTCAATATTCTAACCCGGAACTTCACGGGGAGACAAGCATGGGTTACTGAAGGTCAATATTCTAACCCGGACCTTCAAGTAGAGTTTGCTGATGGTCAACAGTTGCAATACCTTGGATGTATCGAGGTACCCCTCTCTGTCCCACACATGAATAAAACAGAACAGAGTTGTCTCTTCTTCGTAGTCCCAGCTTTACTCACTTGACCAGTATGCTTTGAAAACACATGGAACTCACAAGGGGAGAACACAATAACATATTTCTACAACAAGCTAATATTCATACTCCATGGCACTTAACGTCTAGGTGCATGACCCTGATGGAGGAGGATTCAGTTCGTGATATAACTTCGAAGTAAGGTGTCATCTCAATTTGTTCTTCAAACATTTATCGTGTCCTGTCAGTTTCAGACTCTTGCTGGCAAGACAGACAGGTGTTATCCGATACATCGGAAACATTTTTGTTTCATCATCATCACACACAAAAATAATATTGTATCAGCGTCTACATATTATATGCACAGCATGAAATTTGGTAAAGGTCACATGCAACGTAAAACACAACTTTGCAGATTCGGTATGGACTTTACCGAAACAAATCATCAAAATGCAAATTCAACTTATAAAGTTGAAAATGTAACGCGATGAAAAAACCCGCGCGAATTCGGAGTTTAAACGATTTACTAATTTTTCTCCAGCGCTTGGGGAAAAGTGGTTTCAACAGCTTGGCTGCGCTTTATAGCACATGCGCAGTGAAATGAATTACATGGAAGCGGGTTGTCCGGTGAATACTCGGTGAAGGCTTTGGTGTGTGCTATTTTTCTAATGTTTTGTTGATATTTCACATGCGGGAGCTTTTATATGTTATGACAGTAGATTACCGATTTAACTGTTTATATAATTTCATTTGTCTATTTCACCGCACGTTCTTCTTACCGAGTCACTTTCCCACTTCGATACTTAAAAACAATGTCATTACTTAGCGTTGACAGAATGTCTAACTGTGGTATAGATATGTTGTTGTCACAGACAAAACTCAATGTCTGTTTTATTGACACCTATGTGTTTGCCTGCCTGTCTGCTAATGGCAATTTTCAATACACAACTTCGATCACTGACCACATGCAATTTGAACTTAGCACCTATCAGGCTATACACCATAAAAAAACCGCATTTATTTATGGTAATTCGAGTTCTGTCTCTGTCACATTACATAATTACACAGACAGGCAGGTGTGATACTTGTACACATGACATGTTATGATGTCTGTTGATTGCAAAATGTTATACACAAAAAATGAGCATGTATTTACAAAACCCAACATCTCTATATATACACACAATGACAATGAGCCGTGCAAATGAACCAGCCGTTACACTTTGAGTGCACACCCACCCACTCTGACTGGGTTCGGTATCCCGGCTGCTTCGTTTCTTGGGAAGTAAACCCAAGTACAAAATATTGCACTTTTGATTTGCAATTGTACGCTTATAATTTTGTTTATATGTTTGTTTTCATAATCAGCAATGTATATTATATGTCAGGAATAAGTGATAATTGTGTTTACTTATGTTTGATTTTTTGGTTGCATGTGACCTTTAACAAGGTTGGAGGAGCTGAAATATATTTATGCCTTCCGTTTAACTCCGAATTGATGTCACACTGTCTAAAGTGTTCTTACATCAGTATGATTTTGTGCAAATTAAATTAATACCATACAGTTGTAGCTTAGGTGTATTTTTATTCATTGCTGAAAGCAGATGTGGAAGTGCTACTACATGCCAGTGGAGGAGTGAGTGAGATGAGATCGGCAATATTGCAGGCACATCGTCACATCGGCAATATTGCAGGCACATCGTCACATCGGCGCACATCGTCACATCGGCACTATTGCAGCCATATCATGACTTTAACAAGATATCCTTCAATAATAAAAAGTTATTTTATAAAATCTGTCAACAAAGGACAGTAAAACAACTAGGTTATCACAGGTAGGAATTAACATATAAGCATTAAAACCTTTATTACAATACAGGAGAATGCAATGTAAAAACCGGGCCCATGCCAGTGGAACTAATATCCATCAAAGTAATCGTTGACGTAACAGGTGGGACAACATGAACATGTTGTTTTATTTTTCCCATCAAACACTTATGATTTGTGAAACACAACTGTAATTTATTTGTGAAAAATGTTCATAAATCAGTAGTGGGAAAATGTACAGTTTTCATTCAAAATATATACATTGTAAGAGTATCACCTATGTGCATGATGTTTGACAACATCATAGAGGGACCTTTATCCTAACTGTTTATACACTTCTTTGAGAAGAGATCTTGACATTAACACATGTTGACATACATGATCAAAGTTATGCAGTGTTGCTAATGTGAAATACAGATTGTCCCTACCACATTAATAATAATTCCCTTAGAAACTGTGCACAACGTGTGTAATATATCGAATGTCTGTCAGAAACACAATCGTACCGAGGAAGCAATGCAAACCGCCTTGCTGATAACAGATGAATGCTACAAATGAAATTCACAATTCACTATGCATGAACTCTATATCATTCAGCAATTGAACTGGGTTCTCCGAGACACACTGAGGCGAACAACTCCACTGAACACACACACAGCTGTATTGTGGTGTTTTCCTGTTACATCAGCTTCCTCATTCAATTCGGATCACATATTCTATGGTGATTTTCCTGGTTGATAACATATCCTTTGTTTATGCTGGATGTCGAGACATTTAATCATGTGTCGTTTTCCTGTAGTTTGACATTCCAGATACGATTGAAAGCAATGTTACATGAAGGTAGCGTGCAAATTCGTTGTCCAAACTGGCTGTTGAAATACTCATAGTCATAACATCAAAACGAATATGCATTTGTTGGTAAGAGCATAAGTGTTGAAAAATATTAATAAAATGTGTCTGACGAGACACCCAATATCACAATTGACGTAAAACAGAAGCAACGATATATAAAGATATATGTTTGACTACTCTAAAAAGATCAAACCAGAAAAAGGGAAAATATATTTGTCATCTATATATACAACAGATCTGACATATTTGTCATCTACAGTGTATATATATAACAGATCTGACATATATGTCAAAGACAAACACAAGGGTGAGTGAGTTTAGTTTTACGCAGCTTTTAGCAATATTCCAGCAATATCACGGCCCGGGCCACCAGAAATGGGCATTGCACATGCGGGTAATCGAACCCGAGTTTCGGCTACCACTAGACTACTCCACTGAAGAAAATGGCTTAGGCCCCAGTCAGCAATGGTGGGATATTGGGCACGATATTTAGGGGTTTAAGTAAATGAGTGTTTGCTCGTTGTTTGTCGACGCGCTCAACAATATTCCAGAACCTGTAAATAATCGAGTCAAGACCGGACAATCCAGTGACCAAAATCATGAACATCCATCTACGCAGTAACGACGGGCTGACATGTGTCAACCAAGTCAGCGAGCGCTACCACCCTATCCCGTTAATCGCCTCTTACGACACGCATGGGTTGCTGAAAAACAGTTCAAACCCGACTGTAGAGTGAGTGAGTCGGTGAGTGGAGTCAGGTTTTACTGCTGGTTCTTAACGTTTTCGTTCAGATTTTAGATGCAGATCACAAACATTTTAAGAACAGATAACGTGTTGCCAAACCGCGCATCCTAAACAGAACAAATGTTGGATTCGAACCGAAGGTCGACAGACCGTGTCTGGACGGAGCGCAGTTATGATCCACCAAGCCCACGATTCCTGAGTCCCTCCGTTTGCAGTCCCTTGGGTAAGCGAGGGTTTCATTAAGTGTCCGACACACTGGCTGCTCCAAAACAGTGACTCTTCGTCCATTTAGATTTCACTATACTCACTGTTGATTTCTACACTATCTGCAACACCAATATGTTTTACCATATATACACATTCAGTCCATTTTCTTTCTACCACATTTCGCACAAACAAAATGTTAGTCAGGAATAGCAACCTAGAGATAGCCGAGTCTGACACTCGACCAATGGTTAATGTTATGACAACCTTTTTACGCACCTCAGCTATAATGATGCACAATCAGCCAGGTCATGTTTGTTCTAAATGCCTCACTTAGCACCATTCCCGCTTTACGGGGAAGGTCTTAAATAATCTAGAATTGACCAAACATTCCAGTGATTGCCATTCAAAACATTGACTTGCGCGATCTGTATACGACATCATCATCCATGGTGCCGAGTGAGTGAGTTTGGTTTTACGCTGCCTTGTCAGCAATATTCCAACAATATCACCTCGGGGGACACTAGAAATGGGCTTCACACACATTATACCCATGTGGGTCATCGAGCCCCGGTCTTCGGCGTGACGAGCGAACGCTTTAACCACTAAGCTAACCCAGCGTTCCCTGTTACGGAGCCTGGCCAATCAACTTCTCAGTTGCCAAATGAAGCATGTCACCGACCAAGACCAACCCGAGCTGTATTGAGCGTATAACAAACAAATCCCGGTCAGACAGTACTGTATACCACCGAGAAACAGTACTCCATACTCCATACGTCAAACATACTTACATGTTTCCTTCCGTGTTTCCTTTGACTTGTTTGGTACAGCATACAGATCAGCAACGTTTACAACACCGTCAACAGCAGGATGATGTTTAGGTGTCTTGTCTGGTACGGCGTATAGATCATCGGCGTTTACAACACCACCTACAGCAGGTCGGCGTTGAGGTGCCTTGTATGGCACGGCGTATGGATCACCAACGTTGACAACACCGTCTCCATCCGACTGCTGTGTTGGTGCCTCATCGTCGGTCTCCTCAGCAGAATGCTCTGGCTCACCCTCCATGGTTCTGTGTACCAGCGCGTACACATCTTAAGAGAAAAGGCGTAACCCTACTGAATTCAATGTTCGAACACATTATGTTATGGTCCAAAATTTCTACACTGTTATTAGGATCTGCCCTGTTGTCTTAACTGATTGTCGTGCAAATACATTTGTATCATGGGGTACAAATAATTCTTTTTACTATTTCGTATGTTCGGTTGAACATATAATCATGGCGTTCCGTTAGGTAAGAATATACAACTCTCACGCAATATTCTCACTGAAATTACTGAACCTCCCAGTCCAGGCAACACTCCGTGATCACAACTCGAGTATACCAGGAGATTGGTGGTAAAGGGCAGGAGACGACAACTGCAAACACTTACTTGTTAAATGTCCCATGTTGTTTAGGGGTACATTATGGTTTCTAAAAGAACAACAATTTCATTTATTTTTCTTTCAAAAGTTATTGATGGTTGCGGGGTTTCAACACTGGAATATATTAATATATACAATGATAACCAATTATTACATGTGACATGTGAATTGTACAATTTAGCCCAGTGTAAAGTTGTCCCTACTTTGAGTTTCAGTTTTCAACACTAGATGCGACATAATTGATGAAGTGAATGACTTCGTATGTCATGAACTTAATTGGCGTTGGGCATCACCAGCAGCCCGAATCAATATTATGTCTTTCCGGATTCTGGAATAATGATTCTTGTGAATCATCTCTGTTCAGGGTTGTTGAAACAACAAAGTTATACAGAGCTGACGATCAATTCACTATATTATGCCACTAAAAACTCGTTTGTGGGGTAAGGAAAATCAGTGTAAACATTAAGAAGAGATGCAACTTGTACTTATTATGCCAGACACTAATATTTATAAATGTCCCCAACAACGTTTCATTGGCAGGTAGCGTTTCGCAACAGTTCTGAATGGAAGAGTTAACCATTGTGTTCTGACCAGCTCTGTTAACTCGCATTTTCAAACCACTGCAATGAATGAAACATATAACATACTCTTTACTTGAGGTTGTTACCTAAAGAACAATCCATTGGTGGTGAAATTTAAAACCTGAAATATCACCACGTACAGTGAGACGACTGACGCTTTACTTACGTTGCATTTGTTGCTGTTTCCGGTACCTCGGCACCATTGTCTGCGTCGTTGACAGCTGTTAACAGAATTGATCATCCATGAGTGGGTTTATTGTATCAGTCTTCACATATCTATTATCAGTTTTCCTGGGATATGTTTTAATAATAATGCGACTGTATTAAAAGCTTGAATAACCAAGTACCAATTGTATGATACTTTCATAAAACTGTAATATAAATATACATACATACATACATACATACATACATACATACATACATACATACATACATACATACATACATACATACATACATACATACATACATACATACATACATACATACATACATACATACATACATACATACATACATACATACATACATACATACATACACATACATACATACATACACATAGGTAAATAAAAACAGAATGCCTTTTTCTCCAACATGTTTCGTTCTTTACTCTTCAGGAAGATTGTAGCGGTTACAGTATGACGTCATGACATATATGTCGTGACGTCACAATAGGGACAACATTCTAGAGCGACAAGGTCACAGCTTGTAATGGTTTAACATTGGTTTGAACTTGTCTATGAAGTAGTGTTGTTTTAAAATTCATTTTACTTTGTCCGAATTTTGAACTTGATAAAAGGAAATATTGTAAATTTAACATCGTTTCCTTTCGCACAGACATCTAGATGTTCACTCAGTGAGGTACATCGGGTTTCAGGACACTTTATTTGTTGTTTGTGGACACGAACCCGGACGATATATGTATATATATATATATATATATATATATATATATATATATATATATATATATCTGATGCTTTATGTGTTCATCAATTTTCGAGAGCGATAGTCAAATTACATCAATCAACTCAGAATATGATGCTAAAAGATGGTAACGTGTAGCGTCCGTCATAAAAAAGAGGTTCACTTACCTTGGTTGGCTTTCCTCTTTCTTCTCCTCCTAACACAACACACACAGATAACGACGATAGTGAGGACGACGGCGCCACCTGCTGCTCCAGCCGAGATATATGTGATGTCATCTGGAAGAGAAAACAATAAATGTACAGAATTCGGTTATTGAAAATGGCAAAGGTATGATTTATGATTTAGTGGGTTCTATTTCTATAGTGGCGAAATCAGGTTTGAACAGATAGGTAAAGTCACTTATACAATGTTATATTTAAATGTAGTTTTTACATATATTCATAAGAAGTCATATTATTAATAACTGTTTAAAACAGAGTCAGCCAAAGCTAGACCAGGGCTCCTTTCACGAAACAACCTTTACTGAGATTAACGTTAACTTCCATTCTTTAACTTTGCACTAAGGTTACTGGGGCGGTGGGGTAGCCTAGTGGTTAAAGCGATCGCTCGTCACGCCGAAGACCCGGGTTCGAATCCCACATGGGTACATTGTGTGAAGATCATTTTAGTGTCCCCCGTCGTGATATTGCTGGAATATTGCTAAAAGCGGCGTAAAACTAAACTCACTTACTTACTCCAGGTCACTAAGGTTACCTTAGTGATCAGTACTCCAGTAGGATTTAATTCGTCACTTTAGTTACTAGTTGTCGTATTTAAATGCTTGCCAGTATATAAGATGCCCAGATGTATAACTATAGGTACATAGACAGCAGTTTTAGGAGTGAATAGTTAAACACAAACATATAGAGACATCTAAATGCGTCTCAAGAACCTCATATAAAGACATGCTAAGTCTATAGAGAAGCTATGCTATGACCTATGACCGTATGTATTATATATATGGCTGAAATATTGTCGATGTGACATCAGCTTTTTTGTCATATTTAATGTACAGGAACTTCATATAGGTGGCTTTGAAGGGGAATTGAAACATTCATTGGCTTGATTATTATAATATTATTCATTGTAATGTTGTAATATCGTATTTACTGATCTTATTTACTGTATCTGGTACATCGTTATGCAATCGATCTCTCATTTTTCGTATTCATTCTCTGCCAAACACATGTGCAAGCAAAATGGAGCAAGCTAATAACGGGGGCTTAATTATATTAAAATAACATTGATTATTAATTGTTTCACTAAATACACATGTAACTAAGCGTTAGTTTAACCGGTACACAACTACCTTGATTATCGCTGTGTGTGTGTGGAGTCGTCTTTCTTGATGTAGATATTCCCAACGTTGTTGGTGAATCAGTCAGTGGTGAAGTCGACTCAGAGGCAGAACCTGAGAAGTCTGTATTCATATCTGACGACGAAACATACATTTGTATTTTGAATACTTCAACAACTGTACTTCATAGTACGTTTGTGAACGGACAATCAGACATCTTGCAGACTACATCGTGTGGATAAGATATATTAGATGAATGCTATACATAGCACTGTCAGATATTTACCGCTAAATGGCTTACGTCGACATGGGTGTAAATATGTAACTAGCCTCAATAAAATGTTTAAATGCTTGAATAGGAGATAAACATTAGTTTAACTTGCACGCAACTACCATGCGTATTGTGGACGCTTGTGACTGGTGTTCCTGGATCAGTCAGGGTAAAACTGGTTCGTTTTTTTTCCTAAATAAAGCAAAATAAAGCATAAATAATATAAACTAACTATGACACGAAACACTCATGAACAATCTACTTCATGTAACCGCCTCGGGGTTCTGTTTTGATTGCTGTTCGGATATATATATCCATGTTTCGAAAGAAACAGTCTCGTCTTCGAACGACTTAAGAATAACTTGGTGTACATGAGGGGGGAATGGTATCAATACAAGAAGTAACGGATGTATACATCTGTATTGGATTATGTACGAGTCATACAATGTTGTGTGAGGATAACAGGATACGTGTGTTTAAACAAGGAACATGTGTACATGAAATAGAACAGAAGGTCACACCTGACGTAAGGTCGTTACTACTTCTGAAGTTTTGGTCTGTACATCTCCCACGTCCCCAGCTTCCAAATATTCAGTTGTAGTTAGAGTGTCAGGTTGTGCTGGAAGGTAGTACAGCTTACACTGAAATCATTCGATGTGTACAGGTCGTAACGATACCCAGCAGTGATGCCTGTATAGTTGGGTGGCTGAATAAAGCAGTCATTGTTTGCACTCAATGTATTCAAAACTCGAGCTTCATCTCGAAACCATGTTGTAATTGACATGTTGATGGTGGTGTTGGCGGCAGTGCAGACCAAGGTGACATCATCTCTAGACTGGACCTGAGTGAGTTCTAGAGGGAGACCACCTGCAACATTCCAAGACACAACGAGTATGAGAATCAGTGAAACACACGGATCGTGATTTTCTTACTTTCTCATTATTTAAAATGTGCAGTACCCACTCAAGTTTAGCAACGACATACAACATGTATAGACCGTCGTTATTACACGCTTCTATAAACTTTCAATCGCGCCTATAATATGCAACTGATTCAAATTTTCAAATGATTAACTCAAACCCACTTCCGTTCTGTGTGTACGCAATCCATCCTATCCACAACAGAGTAACCAGGTAAATCCTGATGTCCATGTTTCCAGCACGTCCAGTACACTCTTGTCTACACATATACAGGCGTTGGTTGATGTATTCCGAATGAAGACACTTCATACGAAACAGGTTCGGAGTAACACTAAGAAACCAAGGCGGAAAACATGGCAGCTGACCTGTGTGTGAAAAACGGAGGTATTGGGCAATCTACAATCAGCAACCGCTCTTGTTTAAATGTTTTCCTGGTTTGGATATTGATGAATACATGAGTGTCACATGAGCACATGTGTTTAACACTGCAAAGAGTTACGTTTACGTTCTAATGAGCGGCCAGTTGGTCTGAACAGGGATTTACTGCTGCACCTTTGCATTCGAAATGTACTTGTACATCTCATAATAGAATAATTAGGATTTAAAATGACAACGGTGCACAGCATCAAGAGATATACAAAATTTGCGTTATGATCATTTAACCGTTTGGTGATACAAGCAGCCGTAACGTGTGTATTCATTTCACATTATAAATCACATTGAGTGCTATACAAATGTTGATGGGTGTCATAGTAGATACTATTCATAAACTTTTATCGTTTTTCTTTGATATTATATAACCATTCGAACCACAACGTCAAGTCTCGCTATAAACGAGCTTGGCGGGATGCGAACATGAATTCTTCCTGGTCGAAATGCATGTCTACATCATCTTGTGGTGGACATTTACTTAAATGTATACATTGCAATGTTTAATAATAAACCCAAAATGTTGGGGTTTGCTAGAAACAGATGCACACAAATGTAAAAAGGATTGATGATTTATTTATACAGTACAGTAAATCTAATAATCATACAATAGAAACAAAACAGAAACAAAACGTCACAAAGCTGATCACAAAACGTTGCAGAACATTTTCGGAAGCATATTGTGATGTGTCAATACTCAGTCATTCATTCCCAACAAAAAGCCGTCCACGTTTTCAAATCATGTTGAACCTGTAAAGATACGGATTAGAATTGCTCTTAAGTAACCCATGCTTGTCGTCAGGTTCGCTAAATTGTTTGATCCAGGACTTCGTATTCCAGCTGTGTAGATAGATGCTCGTGATGTCCACCACTGGATGGTTTGTCCAAACTCAATTATTCCCACAACACCTATTGATGATTTCGGCGTTTAACTACAACCGAACAAATAACATCAAATGGAATTAAGCATACGCGGTGTTTGCACAACCGATAACTCAGTGTAAACTGTTTAGAGGAAATCGACAATAACACTCAGTATTGAGTAGAGAGAGCCACAGTTATGGTCAAAACTGCATGAAGTGATCATTACAACAAACACTGATACTTGGTATTAGGGGAAACGGTACGCATGTCATGATCTTCAGGTAGCATTCGCAACTCTAACACTGTTCATGAGAGTGTTAGTTTTCGTGGTGGGTACACAAGCAATAGCCCTGGTATGGAATGACAAAAATTAGGGACATCAATTATTTCAACAAGATTGGCGTTAAAGGTCAGTTCGATTAAAGAACCACTAAACTTTGTTTTTGTTACTCTTTACCATTACATAT